GGACAGCTCCTGCATTGAGCATCTGCCCCCTGATGATCAGTATGCATCAAAGTAACAGGTGGACCAATGGTTTGGTCGCTTAGGTTTTTTTTATATATAGATAGCTAAGATTTGAAAATAGCCCAAGTGCCATCGGTAGAAGAATGGATAAAAAAAAGCTGTTGGGTATTTACATCGTGGAATACTATGCAGCCGTGAAAAAGAAGGTCTCTTATGCTTTGACACTGCATGGATAGACCTGGAAAATGTAATGCTCAGTGTCACATGACCTCACTGATTTGTGGAATCAACTTCAGTCTAATTCAACAGGAAATCTATGGGCTCATATCATTTCTGACCCAGGGGATCCTCATTAGTCCTACGCTTCCCTGTGATGTTTCTGTCCAACTAGGGCCCCTAACTTCCCACTGCAGCCCACCCCACCAAGCTAACTGACTTCACCCTTCAGTACACTCCTAAAAATCCCTTCACCTAAGTCACCTAACAGGGCTCTTTTTGGGCTCCCAGAATCTTGGGATCACCCAGCACTGTCATTGTCAGTTTGCCCACCACTCCAACCACAACACACACTTGAATAATTAATACAATCATGGCGGCAATGATTACTTGTAAGCACTATGCATACATTCTTTTATTTATTCTGATATACCCTGATTTATCCAGTTTGGATAACTCTTTTTTTATAAATATATTTTTATTGATTTCAGAAAGGAAGGGAGAGGGAGAGACAGATAGAAACATCAGTGATGAGAGAGAATGACTGATCAGCTGCCTCCTACACGTCCCCTACTGGGGATGGAGCCCACAACCCAGGCATGTGCCCTTGACTAGAATGGAATCTAGGACCCTTCAGTCTGCAGGCCAATGCTCTATCCACTGAGCAAAACTGGCTAGGGCCAAGTTGGACAACTCTTAAAGAGATTTAGTGATTTTCCTTAAGGTTAAGAGCCAGAAAGTGGCCAAGCCAATATCCAAATCTTTGGAGAGTATATCTCTAAGGCCAAGTTCTACCTCTGCATCCAGCTGCGTACTGATACGGTAAACATAGACAATGGTGGTGTAAGGCAAGCATGTCAAACTCAAAGGCTAACACAGGACAAATAAACGAGGCAAGGGCCGTGAGTTTGACGTGCTTGGTGTAAGGGGGCAGTGGTGAGTCAATCACTTTAACACTACTCTTGCCCTTGAGCTTGAACTCAGTCTGCTGGGCCCAAGGCCCTCACCATGGTGACTAGCAGGTGGGTCTTTAAAGAGCAGGTGTGCTGAGGAGTAACAACGGCTCCTCAGCCAGCTCCTGGGGAGAGGCTCAGCGATGCAGTGGTTTGGGGTGGCATATGGAAGCGTGTGCACAGAGATAAAACATCACAAATTCCAGCGGGCATCCTGATACGGATCATCCCCACACTCAGCCTGCCTTGTCATCAGAAGTGGTCCCTCCGATGTGTATTTTTGGCTTTGCTGCAATCCAAGATTCTTAAAGGCTAACCTGGAATAATTTAGAGCAATTTCCCTTAAAGGGGAAACAGGTGTGATTGGAAACGTTGGCGGAGATGTTTTTCAGAAAATAGATTTAACTCAGAATTTGCAATCGTTTGGGAAGTAGCCGGGGAAGGGAGCAGGACAAGGTAATTAATAAAAAGTCATCCAAGCTCAGGGGCATGCCAGCTATTTCAAAGTCCTAGGTGTTCATTAGCCACATTTCTGTCACTTAGAGAAACATGACTTTCTTTCTTTTTTTTAATTTTTAAAATATATTTTATGGATTTTTTTTTTTTTTTTTTTTTTTTTTTTTTTTTTTTTTTTTTTTTTTTTTTTACAGAGAGAAAGAAAGAGGGATAGAGAGTTAGAAACATCGATGAGAGAGAATCATCGACCAGCTGCCTCTTGCACACCCCCTTCTGGGGATGTGCCCGCAACCAAGGCCACAGTCGAACCCAGGGCCTTTCAGTCTGCAGGCTGACGCTCTAGCCACCGAGCCAAACCAGTTTTGGGAGAACATGACTTTCTTGAGTGTTACTGAGTCACGAGGGTGCTGAAAGCCTCTACTACTTCATTTCCAGAAAGGAGGTGATTAGTAGCCAGATTCTATGAGTCCAAAACAAAATCCAATATAATTGCTTTGTCTATTCAGATCCAAGTGGAAAGTTCTCTGGGCAGGGCTGTTTGTTTATTTACATTATACAAGGTGCCATCAGTGTGATACATCTCCATGAAGAGTTAACTAACAGAAACAGGCAGACGGATATCTCTCAATGATGCAGGTACGAAATGACCCAGTATTTCCCATGGTATGAAACGGTTTGCCATACAGCTGGCTAAAGCAATTCTGAACAACCCAAAAATAAGAATGTGAGGGCTCTGCATTTTATGTTTAGTTGTTTTTTTAAAAATTAATTTTAGAGACAGAGGCAGGGGGAAGGAGAGAGAGAAACATCGATGTGAGAGTAAAATATCGATCTGCTGCCTCCTGCATGGCCCCTACTGGGGATGAACCCAGCAGCCCAGGCATGTGCTCTGACTGGGAATGGAACAGGCAACCTTTAGGTGCATGGATGGTGCCCAGTGGACTGAACCACACAGGCCAGGGCTATGGCTCAATAACTCTTAAGTACAAATTACAGTTTAAAAGCGTGGCAGCCAGTTACTAAGCTAGAATAGAACAGGGTGGGTAAAATCCTGGCCTTGGGAATCTCCAACCAGATTCAAACTCAGATCACTCACTAGCTCTGTGCTCTTGGTTTACTTTATGAATCCATCTAGGTCTCAGGTCCTGCATTTAGAAAAAAAATAATAAAATAAAATAAAAACACAAAAACATGATGCTGGACAAGAAGCCCATAGTCAAAACCCACTGGGAAGAAGTGTTTCAGAACTCAGAATTTTTCACATGTATAACCATGTTAAGATGTAAAACCTTTACAGTAAGTAACACCCTCAGCAGGGTCTGGGCACACCCTGTTATCAAACACATTAACATTTCTGCTGGGGAATACATGAGCAGTCGCTGTAATGGCATGCATTATAACTCTAAATAGCTCCCAGTCCGTTCTGCTACCTGAGTTTATACCAAGCAGCAAAAAAAATCTTCTCAAGATTTCTGTCTTATGGACTTAGGAAATAAAGGTATATACATGAACACATGCACATGGAAAGAGAGGGAAGGAATTACTGTTAGAATAATAGGCTTATGCCCACAAAGGGTTTTTTCTAAGATCACTCAACACTGGTAGAGAAAACACCCAATACGGGCCTGAAGGGGAGGTCCTGGGTTGCAGGAATCACTGCTTTGCTCACTGATCCTACCACCATGGAGATGCCTAAGACCGTGGTTGGCAAACTGCGACTCATGAGCCACATGCGACTCTTTGGCCCCTTAAGTGTGGCTCTTCCACCAAATACCACAGCCTGGGTGAGTCCATTTTGAAGAAGTGGCATTAGAAGAACTTTAAGTTTAAAAAAATTTTTTTAAATATATTTTAGTGATTTTTTACAGAGAGGAACAGAGAGGAATAGAGAGTTAGAAACATCAATGAGAGAGAAACTTTGATCAGCTGCCCCCTGCACACCCCCTACTGGGATATGCCCACAACCAAGGTACACGCCCTTGACCAGAATAGAACCTGGTACCTTTCAGTCCACAGGCTGACAGTCTATCCACTAAGCCAAACCGGTTTCAGCTAAGTTTAAAAAATGTGGCTCTCAAAAGAAATGTCAATCGTTGTACTGTTGATATTTGGCTCTGTTGACTAATGAGTTTGCCGACCATTGGCCTACAGAATGCTGGCTGCATAGAGAGGACTCAGTCAATAGTCTTTGAATGATTCGAAGCTCCTCGTCAAGGTTTCCTTTGTCCACAAGGAGCTATAGGAAATGAGACAGCTGTCCCAGAGAGGCTCACCTTGCTTTGCAAGGCAGAAGCAGGAGAGCCATCAGAAGTCCCCAGCAGAACACAGAGAGTTAACAGTACGTTTCAAAGATCAACATTGACTTCCCTTCCTGTTTTTTACCTTTCAATCATCGCATTTGGGAAATGAGTAACATTGGCATAATTCACTTCCAAATCTGAGTTATCAGGGAAATCAGTCAGTGCCAGGCTCATAATTGGCATTTTATCTACATGAGTGTGATGGTGTGTGTCAAAATTAACAGGAGTTTGTGAACAGTTCTGAGGAATAAACGTGTTTGGTCTTCAGCCACCCCCCGGGTGACCATGGTAAGTAGGCAGCCCTGATCTGCACCAGAAACACTTGCCTAACTTGCCAACAGCAGCACCCCTGTACGCCCCGTCTAACACATGCAGGCACACATGCCATCATTTCCAAGTTTGCTTCTATACATTTCATCCCATCTGACGATGCATGAACTAGGTTCCCATTGCCAAGTTTGCTGCGTCACAGTCTAGAAATCTGTGCGAGGAGTTTCCCTTTATTTATCATAGGCTAATGATTGACATAACTGACAAACAAACAAAATGAGAAAATTCTACCTGAAATTGGTGAAACATGGCCTCCAAAGAAAATGAAACAAAAAAACGCAATATTGTAGGAATCAAGGTGATAGACATTCAAACTGAGCAAAGCAAGCATACCTCTTTGCACTGGAAGTTCGAGGTTTGGCTTACAGACACCTTGTATGAAACGAGAAAGAAAATCTTGTGTGTTTGTGTGTGTGTGTGTGTGTGTGTGTGAGAGAGAGAGAGAGAGAGAGAGAGAGAGAGAGAGAGAGAGAGAGAGAGAGAGAGAGAGGGAAAGAGAGAGAGAGAGAGAGAGACAAGGATTAGTGTATCCATGGTGGGATGGAAGGCATGGGAGAGAAGAACTTCCCCCAGAAAAGCAGCATGTCTACTTTTCAAAATGTTGCCAGGAGTACGATCTTTCCTATTCCCAAAGAAACCAAGAGATAAACTAACCAATCATCAGGCAACCTCAACACGTCTGACCCTTAAGATCTAAAGACAAGGAACCGACCGTGAACTTGAGACCTTAAAAAACGAAGCTTACCCGGCCTACAAGAATGGGTTCGGGTCCAGAGAACTCCTCCAGGACAAACATTTGGTTCCACACCCAGCCTCGCTTGGAGCGGTTCAGGACCCGCTGCTCTTCGCTCAGCCTGCTGAGTTCCAGACGGGATCCACTCATCAGAGCAGGAGCAGGAGTGGTGGGTGCAGAGTAAACACAGGGCGGGAGGAGCGTAATCCATAGTATTAGTAACGGAGTCCAGAGATCCCAGAGCGCTTCCCAGAGCCGTTCTGGCATGGTCCCACCGGTAAGGCAAAGGAGCACAAGAAGACAGTTACTTGTTCGGCCTCCGGTCCACAGCCATCCAATGCATCATGCAGGGCGCGGCGCTGGCTGTGGTCACAGCACGGGAGGCAGGCACCAGCTACGCGGGGCTCCTAAGACCAGCATCCATCGGCTCCCGTTTTCATTGGAATTTCCTGCAGGAAGCAGAGAGAGAGGGAGAGAGAGACAAGTCCACTGAGACGGGTTTTCCAACAAGATCGCTGCTATATTTTATTAGAGGAAGGGAGAAGGATAGAGAGTTTAGAAACATCAATGAGAGAGAGACATCTATAAGTTGCCTCCTGCACACCTCCTACTAGGAAAGTGCCCGCAACCAAGGTACATGCCTCTGACCAGAATCAAACCCTGGACCTTCCAGCCCGCAGGCCGATGCTCTATCCATTGAGCCAAACCAGTTTCGGCAAGATCGCTGCTTTCAAACAAGATCAGGTCAATAGCTTCACCAGACAGCTCCTGAAACTTCCGCATTAAGCAAGTCCATCTGAGGAACGGAAGCAAGTAGGCTAACAGGTCCTTTCATTGTTTTAAAGCATTGTTTAGCTTTAGTGTTAATAGTTTATGTGTGTTACTTATAAAAAAATAACTGCTTCATGGACAGTAATAGAAATGTGCTTTTCCTACCCTTTCTTTCTTCCTTTCTCCCTCCCTCCTTCCCACTCTTTTTTCTTAAATTAAAAAAAAAAAAATTCTAATGCAAGCTGGGGTGCATGCTATTGAAGGCCACTTATATTCTTATGGAGGTTGCAAACCTCTATTTTTTCTTTCTTTCTTCTTCTCCTCTGTCTTTCCATCTTTTTTCCTTTCTTTTTCTCCTTTTCTCTTTCTCCTTTCCCTTTCTTTCTTTCTTTTTTTCTTTCTTTAAAGGGGGGTTCTAGTTCATTTGATGCTGAACTATGTGAAGAAATTAGCCTTCACTGGTTATTTTGTTCTGTTCTTTAATTTATGAATAAGAATGGGAAGGGAAATTTCCCCAATTTTCACCATCTTAGCCGCCACAACCCATCAGAAGGGACCGTCTAGTAGGGGCACAGAATGCAGTTCTCCACCAGGACACTAATAACCAGGGAATGGAATTAGAATGGTCCCACAGAGAAAGCCGGCAACATCCAGCGCGTACTCCACAATCAGGGCAGTGCCAGGACGCTCGTTCTGAATGCACAGTCCAACAGGCAATTTCAATTATGCAAAGCTCCTTGGGGAGTAGAATATGGTAGAAACACAATTTTCAGTGGAAGTCAGAAAGGGATGGGCGAAAAAAATCCCCATTATTTCAGGTGTCAAATGTGGTTTTTTTGCTTACCTTTAGCGTGGCCGAACGTATTTCTTCCCTTTCAATATATATATATATATATATATATATATATATATATATATATATATGTGTGTGTGTGTGTGTGTGTCTATGCATGTATGTGTATATATATATATGTGTGTGTGTGTGTGTCTATGTATGTGTGTATATATATATATGTGTGTGTATACATATATGTGTGTATACATATACATATATATACATATATATGTGTATATATATGTTTTTTTTCTTTTTAAAGAAATAATGTTCACTGCAGACTCCAGACAGGAGCCTTGCTGAATTCAATTAAGTGAGGAAATGATTGCTCAGGATGCCACTGGAAACAATTCAGTAGGCAGCCCTCCAACCTCTAGGCCCCTGGTTCTCCTCTGCCTCCCAATGGAAAAGTAAGAACGCTGTTGCCACCAGTTGGGCTGGCTGTGGGCGCCGGAGCAGACCCGGCTCCTGCTGCCCAGGCAGGCCGCATTGAATCCCACAGGACAGCCAGCGGCATCGCCTGGCCTGTCCCATTTGCCAGGGCTCAGCTCTGTCCCTAGCACTCTGTCCCTCAAAGCGGCTCCACTTGGGAAACTGATGAAAAGCTTGCAACAGGGAACCAGCTCAGAGCAATGTCCAGCACCTTCCTTAGAGCTGCAGCAATCAGGAACACTCAGCCCTCCTTTCATTTTATTTTAAATTTATTTTAAATATATTTTTATTGATTTCAGAGAGAGGAAGGGAAAGAGAGAGAGATAGGAACATCAATGATGAGAGAAAATCATTGATCCGCTGCCTCCTATATGCCCCCTACTGGAGATGAAGCCCACAACATGGGCATGTGTCCTGACAGGAAATCGAACCGTAATCTCCCGGTTCATAGGTTGATGCTCAGCCACTAGCAAGTTCAGGAAGGACACAATAATAGTACCTACCCAGAGGATGAAAAGATTACAATCCTTATAAAACTATTAGGAATAGCTGGAATGGACCATTATTTTTAAATTGTGTCCAATACTCTGCCAATGTACTCCGGAATCTTCATGCATTGTTCATGATGCAGGGACAGGGACATTCCATCCCACTGAAACTCAGGACAGACGCTTCGTTGATGGAAACCACCAAGCAGCCCTTGGGATGAACTTGGACATGACCGGTGTGCTTCCTGAACTCGCCAGGCTCTGGTAACAAATAGTAATAGACCTGGAACAATTCCATAGGATGGCATGGCTTCCTTAGTATGAATGGAAGAATTAATTCATACTGGTAGATGCAAAGCCCCAAATACTATCCATGAACACAGTACGTTAGAGTTAAGAGTAAGCTCAGGAGGGTTTGTACTGTTTTGTTCAAAACTGGGGCACAGAATAAGTACGCGACTTCCCCAAAGAATACCTCCAATAAGAAGTGGCTCACTATTGCAATCTAGGTAATCGAACTCCAAAATTCTCTTTCCTACCACAGCCCCTCCTCTGTCCTTATATAAACATCTGAGGAACATAAACTGAGTGTCCAATACTGGGAATGGAAAGGCAAATAGGTAAGAGAGCTTATCATCAGGGAATGAAGAGTCTGAAGGGTAAAGACTAAGAAATAAATACAACATCCAGGGAAACATAATCTGAGAACAGTTAGCCCCGTGGTTGGCAAACTCATTAGTCAACAGAGCCAAATACCAATAGTACAATGATCGAAATTTCTTTGGAGAGCCAAATTTTTTAAACTTAAACTTCTCCTAATGCCACTTCTTCAAAATAGACTCACCCAGGCCATGGTATTTTGTGGAAGAGCCAAAGAGCCACATGTGGCTTGCGAGCCACAGATTGCTGACCACTGAGAATAGAGTGATGAGTATGCCTCTCGTCTTGGCAGCATCACAGAGGGCTTCCTGGGGGCAGTGTCCTCTACATGTTGAGAAGGGATTTCCCAACTGGGGAGGGGTAGGTATGAAAGGACATTTAAGTCAAGCCATGAACAGGCCAGACTCCTGATGAGTCCAGGATTTCTGAATGAGCCAGAACCTAGAGTAGTTTCCCAATCATGACTCCCTAGCTCACCCAGTCCATGATCATCCCAGTCCCAGCTGCTACACTGTCCACATCTGTAGGGGCCCTTCTCCTCTGCCAGTTCTCTGTGAAGAAAAAGGCATGTTTGATTTCCCCTAAGCTTTGAGAGTAAAAATACATACCCTCCCACGGAGAGGGAGTGGGAGACAGAGGAGTGCTATTCCAATGCAGGCCCTCCTTTTTCAGAGAAAGGGGGAGGGACTTGGCCAACACCCGCAGGGGTGGCAGAGCCCTGGCCCAGCTCCAGGAAGAAAGAGCCCAGTTCTGCAGAAACCCTCCTTCTTCTCTGTTGTTCATCCCCACTATCCCTCTGAAACACTCCTACACCCCTCCTCCAGTGCTGCCACATCTCTAGTCACTTGTACCGTTACTTTAAATTCTAGTAAAAGGCTTTCAGTTGTCAAAACCAGTTTGGCTCAGTGAATAGAGCATAGGCCTGCAGACTGAAAGGTCCCGGGTTCAATTCCAGTCAAGGGCATGTACCTTGGTTGCAGGCACATCCCCAGTGGGAGGTGTGCAGGAGGCAGCTGATCAATGTTTCTCTCTCATCGATGTTTCTAACTCTCTATCCTTCTCTCTTCCTCTCTGTAAAAAATCAATAAAATATATTTAAAAATAAATAAATAAAATAAAATGCATTCCAATTTTTAAAATATTTACTTAAAGCCCACTCAGCCTGGCTCACTGGTTGAGGTTCAACTTATGAGCCAGGAGGTCACAGTTCAATTCTTGATCAGGGCACATGCCAGGGTCGAGGGCTCGCTACCCAGTAGGAGGTGTGCAGGAGGCAGCTGATTGGTGAGTCTCATCACTGATGTTTTTACCTCTCATTCCCTCTCCCTTCCTCTCTGAAATCAATACAAATATTCTTAAAATTTACTTAAAAATGGAAAGCCAGTATTATTTTCTACAAAATAATTAAAGTGGACACTTAGAAAACATTTGGCGAATATTCCAGTCACGCACGCATGCTTTATGTATGGATATGGTAAGTCAACAATACAGACTATACACAAATGTATAGCTGCAGACATTAGATGTAGCACACATGTATGTATTTATGCCTATCCTTCAAAAATAGCCCTAGGATTATTATGACTTTATTATCATTCCCATTTTAGAGAAAAGCAGACTGAAGCACAGAGAAATTGCTGTGGTAAGCAGTATTTTGTGTTCCCTGAACTAGACAATGTCAAAGTCTCAGACATCCTCTCTTTGTTAAAAGGCAAGACCAGCAGCATTAGAGGCAACGGTGTGCTGTTCAATATGTAACATGTAGCTCTAGAAAAGGAAACTAAGAGAATGCCAATGTTTGAGTCCCATGCTACCAATACCTCCGTCATGATCAAAGTCAAGATTAGCATGACCGTTAACCAGCTCTAGGGCAGTTTCTGATCTATTCACCAATCAGCTCTGAGGCATCCAGTAAGAACTACCCCAGGACACCATTGTGGGGGTGAATCTCAAACTTCAGTCTACATCCAAGGCACCTGTAACTCTAGCTAAAATGCAGATTCTGAACCAGTGAAGAGAAGGCAGAGGGCAGGGCCTGCGATTCTGCACTTCAACCATCTCTCCTGGGATGCAGATGTGAC